GGCTCTGGGAAATGAGAGAAAGAGAGGAGTGAAGATGACCCCAATACTTTTTAGTCTAAGCAACTAAAGGATGGAGGTGTCACCATCTGAGATGGGGGTGACTGAAGGGTGACCCAGTGCAGGGCGATGAGTTCCGTTTTGGGAGGGTCCATTTTGAGGGACTACAGAGCCTCGGCTGGGATTTCAGCTGGGAAGCTGAACAGACAGGTCCGGAGCCCAGGAGAGATTAATTAGGAAGTTTTCAGTGTGTAAAATATTATTTGAAGCCACAACAGAAAATGTATTAAAATTCCCACCAAATATTGATTTTCTAGCAATCCCACCAGGAGCTAGAACACAGGTTACAAAGCCTGTGGACTTCATGTTTAATTCTTAGCACACAAGCTTGGGTTCCTGGAATGGGAGGAGGGGGTGCCTTTGGTGGCAAAGGGGTACAGAAGAAAGGGGTCTGAGGCCTGGTTCCTGGGTCATTCGAACACTTAGAAGTTGGGGTGCTGAGTGAAAACAGCACGAGAACTGACAAGGAAGACCTGTGAGGTGTAAGGAAAAATCAGGTACGTGTGGCGTCCTGGAGACCAAATAAAGAAGGGCGGTGATCCAACAGGCCATGAAGGTGAAGGGTAAGGTTGTGCTACTGAATTTAGCAGCCAGGATCATCCCAGTGACCACGCCCAGTTTCCACCTGCCACCCCACCACAATCAATGGAGTACAAATAACTCTCCCAGGGGGTTTTGCTGAAAAAAAAAAAAGATTTTAAAAATAGGGCAAGGGCTAAAGAAAGACATAGGGTCAACAGCCGAATGTTTAGTTTTTATCACACTAAGAGATTACAGCCTGATTTTAGGATGATGGGAATGATCCGGTGGAGAAAGAAAACAGATAATACAAGAGAGAAGGAGAAACATTGCTGGGGTAATGTCCTGAGTAAAGGCCAGAGGGAAAGCAAGTGTCAGGAGGAGAGGTGTGTCTTAGAAGCGCCTTGTCAACAGGAGGACGGCACAGCTGTGGCCACTGTTCTGCGAGATGAGCAGGTGTGGTGGGAGCTGGAGAGTCTCTATGGCCTCTGGGTTGGGTTTGTTCTGTGTTGCAGTAATACTGGAAGAAAAGCTATCTGTGCAGAGGCGGGATGTGGGAAGTGAGTGTGAGAGGCTTAGGGAAGACAAGATGTGCAATGGTTAAGCAGGAGGGTAGGAAAGTGAACCAACCAGGGAGCGATGGGGGCATTGCCAGTCATGACTGAGGGCTCAGTGAGGTGGTGGCTGTGAATTGACAGTGAAACCAGTCAGCGTGTGTGTTCTCTCCAGGGTCATTCTGCTCTCAGGTACAGGCATGGTGTAGGCAGAGAGCTGGATTTAATCTCGGTTGGGATTTTGCCAGGTTAAAGTATGATGAAGCAAGAGAAGCACAAAAGATTATGATAATGAACTGCTATGGCTTGAATGGTGTGTTCCCCACAAATTCACGTTGAAATCCTGACACCCAAAGGTATTAGTAGGTGGGGCCTTTGGGAGGTGACTAGGTCTTGAGGCTGGCACCCTCATGAAAGGGATTAGTGCCCTTATAAAAGTGACTCCACAGAGCTCCCTGGCCCCTTCCACAGGTGAGGACACAAAGAAGTCTGTGACTCAGAAGAGGGCTCTCACCCAACCATGACCCCAAACTTGCAGCCTCCAGAAGTGTGAGCAATACATTTTTGCTGCGTATAAGCCATCCAGCCGGTGGTATTTTGTTATAGCAGGAACCATGGAATATGGTGTGTGATAAAGATGTTTGGTTTTTGTCAGCTGAGAATGGAGAGTTAACCAGCACGGGCTTTAAGCAATTGTCATCCAGCAAATGAGAATTACATATATACGTTTCATCACATAGTGATATCTGTTTCCCCTTCTTTATCAATGTTTCTTTTCCCCTTTCTAGTGGATGAAACCACAGTAACATCAAACACAAACTTCCCCTTGGGAGATGAGTTAAGATGTGTAATATCCCAATAACACTGAGAGTGACCATCTTTTGAGGCTCAGTATTTATAACGGAGAGGTCACCACCCCTGCTCTCAAATGAGGGCTCCAGGAGACTGTGGGTGCTGGCAGGCCATGGGAGCGAACATGACCACATGGCTGTGAAACTATCTGCAAGTCATTTCATGCACATGCCTCCCTACTACTCTCATTCTATCCCTACTTCTTGAGCTTCCTCGAGAGATTCTCAACAACTTCCCTCTTAATCTTTTTCTCTCTACACCTTCCTCCACCAGTGAGCTACAGGACCACCCCCTCAATGCCATCACCACACAGGGACCTTAGTGATGGGACAGGCTGAACCGAACTGTAATTCTGGTTGCTGGCAGGCATGACAAGTGGATTTGAAAGGAAGTTCCAGAAAAGTGCATGCTAACTCAAGGTCAAGTGAGGTCAGGGCCTGGCATTCCTTGAATATACCATTCTTCTTTGGCAGCTTGCATATGCCATTCTTTGGGGCTCTAAAACAGCATTTCCTCGCTGGGCTACTTCTTCTCTGTCTGGCCCTTCTCTCCTAGCAGATCCATTCTAGATCCTTCCTCCTACACCCCACACCTTGATGGCTATGGCTGAATCTCCAGGCTCCCTTCTGGCTGACTTCCTATGGGTTTGAACAATGGAGATTAGAAAGTTGAAAGAGAGGTCAGGGATGACTTCCCTCCAACCCCTGTGTTCAGGCAGAGCCCAAGTCCTCCCGCCTGGGTCCTGCTCTCCCAGAACTAGAGAAACACCGCTTCCTTCCACTGCTGCCCCAGGTCTAGGGGTGGTGATGGCCTCCCATGGCCTCCCCAGTGCCTCAACATGCTTCGTTGGTGACTTAAATCCCACCCACCCTTCTGTCATCACCCCTTCTTTAAGGTCTCTCGAACCTTCTAAGTTAGACTCTGTGTCTTGCCAGGACCCTGACTGACACCATTTCAAATTCAACCAATTTTACAACTGCGCTTTGGTGCTGAAACTGCAAGAACAAAAAGCAAATTCCAAATAGGCACAATATATTTGTTCATTCATTCATTCTTTCATTCTAGGTGAATATGCTTACACCCACGTTTTGTTAAAAGTAGAAACAGAACCCTTTACTTTGAGAACTTCAGAATGACTTATCAGGGAACCAGGTCTACAAATAGCTTTTCCCCCCCAATAAAACTTTCACTTCCTGAATCAAAGGACACTTACAAAGGCTAGTGGTCACCTGTCATTCAAAAGACCGCTGAAATCTTATTCTATTAACTGTGACCCTGGAACTGTAATTATTTTTATGACAGAGCTGATTTGATATCCTAGACAATAATCAGCTAGTGATAAGATGGTTTGGGGGGGTCTCCTAGCTTGAATAAAAGGCCTGAGATTCTTTCTTCAGAGAATAAAACTCAGAGGAAACGAGGAGAGTGTTAATATACTCCAAAAAGTTTTCAACAGTAACAACGGGCCTATTGGATAGCTAAATTGTGCCAAATGTCAAAAGATTAGTAATGCAATCTTATATTTACCCAAGATTAGTTGGGCTATAAAGACTGGGGTCAAAGAATACTGCTGTTAATTTTCCATGAGCGTGCTTAATGATCAACCTTGAAGACTGCAATCCTATTTCCTTGTGAGGACCCAAGATCCTGAAAAGCCCGGGGAAAAACCTGCTGCAATTACCCGGGTAAACTCAGGTCAGAGTGAAATTTCTAAAGAAAATCTATGACTCCAGGAGGTTCTTATCATGAGGAAAATAACGCTGCAGACTGACCAATGGCCCGGTGATGCAACATCATACAGACGTCAGCATACCTTGCACAAGATCCTCAGTCTGTCAAGTCCTGCCAGGGGGACTCAAAGTGTCTCCTTGTTAAGAATAAACAGGCAATCTGCAGTTCACCCAAGCAAAATGGATCAAAAGTATTTTGCTTTGGAAAAATGAAGTGAACAAAGGACTGTATGTTAGCAACTTTTAATTTTTTATTTATTTTTCTATATTTGCATTGACTTCAGAGAAGGGGAGGGAGGGAGGGAGATGATAGAAACATCCTATCCTATATAATAAAAGCGTAATACGGAAATCGACCAAATGGTGAAACGACTGGTCGCTATGATGTGCACTGACCACCAGGCGGCACATGCTCAATACAGGAGCTGCCCCCTGGTGGTCAGTGCGATCCCACAGGTGGAGTCGGGCTCACGGCTGGCCGGTGCAGCAGTGGTGGCAGGAGCCATTCCTGCCTCCGCTGCAGGTGGGCAGTAAGGACAAAGGGGACCCAGACTGCTAGAGGGCGCAGGCCAGGCTGAGGGACCCCCCCAAGTGCACACATTTTCATGCACTGAACCTTTAGTAGTATTACATAATAGAATCAGAGCACTTTAAGAGTTGAAAGGACGAGAACTTAGAACTCTCATTATTTGAATAGGTATATTTACATACTTAACACTCAATAGTAATATGTACAGCAAAAGCTGTGATATGTTCCATAAAACAAAAAATTTAAATGATATTCAAAATTTATAAATATGTTTCATGGAAAATATAGGAAAAAATATTCATTTCCCTTGCTTCATAGGTACATCTGTTATAAAGATGCCCTATCTCACTTTGAAATGGCTTTTGGGGAAGAAAACAAGAAAAGCATTATCACATCAAAAATAATAATTAATTCCATAATATACCCTGTCTTTAGGAATATTAAATTGGGCCAAATATAGTGTAGGAAACAGGACAAGGTTGCCCCTCTCCCTGAGTGTGTCACATAAGTAAATAACAAAGACTGCCAAACCTGTCACAGCCCCTGGGACAGAGCAAGCCCACATCAACACTGAGGTTTAATTGTTGGCATTAGTATCAGAATTAGAAGGAGAAGCATCTGTTAAGGTATTTGCTCAACATATTACAGTTCAAAATACCACGGAATGTTAGAGGTAAAACATACTGTAGAAAAACTGTTCTCTTTGGTTTATAGGTAATCTGCACAGATGGTGAGATAAAGTTAAGTGATTTATCAAAGTCCTCTATTTGTCTGATTAATAATAACAACAATAATAGAAGTGCTTACTGTGTGCCAGGCCCTGTAGTACTAGTAAGTGCTCTATGTATAATATTGAATCAGCACAGCAGTCCAATGTGACAGCATACTAGTTACTATTATCCCATTTTATGGACTAGGAAGTTGAGGCCCACACCACACAGGGTAAGTGAATCTCACAAAGCACACTCTTGGTCAGAGTCGGAGCTCCGATTCAATCCCAGGTCTACCTGACACCAAAGCCTGGGCCCTTCCCACAGAGCAATGCCTCCTACGTGGCTTGTCACTTGCTCCTCCTTGGATTGCTTTATGACTGGAAGTCTTATCTTTTCAACAAAAGCAAGTGCAAGGACAATGTTACCTGTTTCTTTTGAACGTGCATTGCACAGGACTGGGTCCTGGGCAGATGCTCAAAAAAATGCTCGCTGAGTGTACAGCAGTATTAAAAAATGCCTTGTCACAGCACACAGCCATGAATGCGGAAGCACTCGAGACAAGCCAACTCTAGACAACATTGCTCAGGTAATGACTTGTGCCTGGATTCCATCCCTTGGCAGGAAGTGAGGCCTTGCTTCTTTAATTGCCCTTGGTTCACGAGTTCAAGAACGGGGCTTGAAGAGAACTGCTCCCCAGCTCTGAGAAGCAGAATGGTAGCATATTCCCCTGCTAGGCCTACACCAGTGCTGCTTTCGTTCACGGTCAACAACGCCCAGCGAGCTTGCTCAAGCACCCCAAAGGCAGGGCTCGCCCGGGAGGCGGGCAGGGGAGACCAGCTGTCCTTGAGAACACAGCCCTTCCAGCTGGCACGAGGGACACTGTTGGACGTCGGGCACTCAGGAACCTGGAGCAGAGTTTAGCTAAGGGGCAGCGCTAGCTGAGGCTTTTCTTTTCACATTGAAAGAGAAGGAAGCCCCTCCTGAGAGAATGAAGAGACCAGGATATAAGGTAAGAATTTCCCACTCGTCTCTGGGGAAGGCGCTGTGACGGCAGTCCTTGCATCCTGACCCCGGGCTGGAGAAGACCCCTCAGCCTTCAGCATGTGTGCTGAGGAAGCGAGCACGACACCTCAGCCTTCGGGAGAACACAGGGCTCTGAGGACTGAGGCAGGAGGGTCGACTGAGGGATGTGAAGGCAGGTGACATGAGTTCTTGACCTATTTCTTTTTAGAAACTGACCCGCTTCTTCCCTCCTGCCTGGCCCAGCACCCTCTCTTCCCATTAAAACTTGGGCACTGCATCTGCTGAACTGGACCAGGGCCCACAGTCAGGCCTCAATCTGGTTGTGTTAGTTCCCAAACCAGATTAGTAACATCATCAACCTGAGAAATGTATACAAACTATTGCTTCTCAAGGTAACTCCAAAAGAGGATCCCAAGTTCATCACAACTCAGCTAAAACAAAAGACCACGATGCTTAACATGGCCATAGGTCTCATATTTACAAACCATGTAAGAGACGTGTGAACACATAATCCAATGTTATAGTCTACCCAATCAAAGTTGTGGACACATTCAGTGTATACCTTTAAAGTGTCCTTCATGCTTCCCCACAGCTCCCCCTACTTCTATCCTCCCACCCCCTTAAAGCACAGATAGGCTTGCTGTTCTGAGTTCTAATAAATTTCCTGTTGGGACATTTATAACAGTTTCCGATATCTTCCATCACCCTCAAATCCAAGGTCAAAAACAAGGTCAAAGGCATTTCCTGGCGTCTTTCAGGGAGCTCATACCATGTCACAGTGGGAAGCTTTCCTCTTACTGCTCAGAAGTTTGGGCACACGGAAAATTTAGAACATGGCGGGCGAAGAATGAGAGCCTTGCCTGACTCTGGAGAGTTCTGTTCCAGATATCCTGGCAGTTACAACTACAGCTAGACCGAGCTGAGGCACCACACCGGGCAGCAGGAGCGCACCTTGTAATCAGAGCGTGTGCATACCAGAACATGTTGTACCTTCTCTCCGTGATGTTCTCATCTTCCACTTGAGCCCCATCTGAATCCAATCATTTGCCTGCCTTCCTCTTTCTCCTTCAGATCAGGAACTGACCCCAGGGAGAAGAGAACACTGTATATATTTGTAAAACATCTCTAAAAGTCTCAGAAATTGCCATAGGAGTATAGTTTTAACATTTTACTCAATAATAATTCTGTTGAAAATTCCAGGATAGTGTCTGACTCACTGAGGCTTATCATGAAAAATTGTGCTACAGCACAGAGTCCCTGGACCTCAGTGTCTTATCCTATAAAACATGGGACGTGGGCTTGAAGCTCTCTGGTCCCTGTTTTATGAATCCCTTACTTCCGGCTGCTAAGTTTTCATGTACAAGCGCCGATGGACAAGCAGCATACCTTCTCAGAAGTGTGGACGAATGCTTTAAGCATGATCTGGATGAGACCTACCCTCTAGACTGGTCTCACAGAAGTTAACATGATATGTGGAAAAGCTGCTGAGCTTAGCGAAATCACCCATGGTGCTTCCAGATCTTTCTCTAAGCCCTTGGTCAGTACAGCTCGCAGAAGAGCTTTTCAGAACTTGTCCATCTTTAGGTCCTCTTTTTGTCATGGCCCCTCCCTCCACTGTTATGCTTACAAATCTGGTTGCTTTTCTTAGCCTAGAGCAGAGGTCCTCGAACAGGAAGACTTTTCTCCCCTGGTGGCATTTAGCAAGGTCAGGGTTAACTTTTGGTTGCCACAGTTGGGGAGGTGTGTTACTGGCCATCCAGTGGGTAAAGACCAGGGATGCTGCTAAACATCCTACAGTGTGAAGGGCTGTCCTCACAACAGAGAATAGTCTGACCCCAAATGTCAACAGTGCCAAGACTGAGAATTCCAGGTCTAGAGAGAGAAGGGAAGGGAAGGGAAGGGAAGAAGGGAGGAAGGAAAAGAAAAGGAAAGGAAGAAGGAAGGAAGGAAAGGAGAGGTAGGAACCAGCAGTCCTCTCTGGCAACACTTTCTCCAGAAGGGCCACATCCTGGTCTGCGTGTAGCTGACTCATTGCACACATGTATGTTACCTGCTAAGATGCTATAGGATCTCTGAGTTTGTGACCTCTGAACTCTATTACGCTTCTGGCATTTTGTTGTAAAATCCTGCCCCCCCCGCCTCTCCTCTAAAAGAGGGTCTAGTCACAGTGCTTCAAATAAGTTTCAGCCCCTTTGCAGAGCAATAGAAAGCCAGTGCAGCCCTCCTGAGCTGATTGATTCTCTCAGGTGACCAAACAGGTTGGATTCTGTTTTCTTTGCAGGTTGAAACTCTTGTTTTTCTTAGGACACACTGTTCTCTTGAGGCCCTATGCCTGGCAGCAAAAAAAAAAAAAATAAGCAACCACATGCAACTTTGCTGTGGGTAGTCAGGTACGCGGCAAGGATTCAGGGTCTGGTAACTCAGACACTTCGAGAACTTCCTCATCAAGGTGAAAACCTCAGAGGCCTCACCCAGGCCTGGAGCTTTGGGGCAATCAACAAAGAGCCACAAGGGCGGGCAACTGGAGAGAACAGTGGCTGCTGACTCAACAGTAGTCACCTGGTAGGTGTCAGGCATTTCCTTACCTGCTAGGGCTCCGTAGGTGCTACATTTGTCTCTGCCAAGCTAATGCGATCCAGTAGTTCCCCGTGGCCTTCCCCACCGAAGGGACTGCTGGCTGGTCTACGGGGCACCTGTTGGCAATACCCAGCTCGGAGACATGGGCGTCCTCACCCTTTTCCCCACTGGACTGAGGCCAGCCAGCAGTGGCCGCTCCTCCCTGGCATGGGCCCTGTTTTACCATGGGAGCCGGAAGGAAATCATTCTTTGCCCCGTACCAGGAGATCGGAGAGTACACTAGCCTTTATTCTATCAAATGAGAAAAAGCAAGATCCATAAGAGTTTAGACCAGAGATTTCCAATCTTTCCATGATCAGAAGGGCCTCTTAAAGGAGACCCTAAGTTGTCTAGTTAGTAACAGTTCTCCCCCACTGTGTTCCTACAGAACACATTTTTATGGAGGTGGCATTGTGCCTACCTTAAAACACACAGAAAGCCCCCATTCTCCAGCTTCCCTTGCAGAAAGGGGTGGTCCTATTATTAACAACATGTGCACTGGTCACCGAGTACGACACGGAAGAGAACGAACTTGGCTGGGTAACTGTTTACCTTTTGCCCTCTGCCCTTCTTCTTCTGGCCTAGAAGCATGTGCCTGGATCCCCTGCAGCTGTTTTCCGAGCACAAGAAAGAGGGCAGTACAATAAGGACTATGAAGAGGAAGCTCGAAGAAGCTCGCGACACTTGCTGTTATGGAGACTACAATCCTTATACCATGACAACTTTGCAATTTATTTAATTTTTCTGAGCCTGTTTCCTGAAGTATGTTCTTATCTCCCTTGCAGGGTTTGTATGGGGATTTAAATGAGATAATATCTGCTAAACTGCCTCAGAATGGCTGATAAAAATCAGTTTCCAAATCAACAAATAAATCATTCCTTTCTCCTTTTCAATCAGATCTCCAGACATCAGGAGAAATTAACAGGCTTACTGCTGCTTACTAATAAGCTAAACAGGACTCTGTCTAAAGTGTTTTTTGACTTGGTGTCAAATTATTGAGAAAACAAGGGCCTAGGCCAGTGATTTTCTTTTTCTTTTTCTTTTTTAAAAATTTCTTTATTGATGGTTATTACATATGTGTCCTTCTCCCCACATTACCCGCCACCCCCGCACTCATGCCCTCATCCCCCTGTT